CAAACTATGACACAACTGATGCAGACTGTTACCATTTTGGGCGCCGAGCGCGCGAAATTCAGTGCAAGCAGACCCTGATTGATACCTACCGAGACCAACCAATTCGGTGCAAGTTATGTGACAGGGAAAACTCCTTGCAAACGTTGGAAGTGTTCGAGCTGGAAGCGGCCCGACACGGTGTGAATCAGCGAAAAAGCCAACCGCTTACAAGCTCATGGAGATGTACTGAGCCACAGTGAGCAGCTTAATTAGGGGAAGGATGCTCCGGTACCAGGGTTGGGTAAGACCTTATCTTTGGTATGCAAACATACTGGGAAGTTTATGCTCATAAGTTCCAGCAAACATTCGCGGTTTTGTGCCATGACCGCGGGGGGCATAGTGGAGCTAGCACCCCAAGGCACGTGCAGGTTATGTGGTGCAAGAATTGCAGGGGAGTTTCCCCAGTCAGGGGTTAGCTGTGGGTCCCTTTGAGTGTGTTGCGGCCAATATACCATCGGCATCACAGAACTTGAAAGTTGGTCAGCTGGCAACTCCGTTAACGCCCCAAAATGTGGATTGAAAACAAAGCAGCCAAGGGCGGTCTCCCGTAACAAGAAGGTCAAAAGAGTGAAAGGACCCGCGGGAGGGGGTCAATCCTTAAGCTGTTTCCGTCGTTACGCCAGGAGGCCAGCAGACCGTTATAAGCTAAGTAAGCTAAGAAAGCATGGGCTGCTTGTTGTGGTCAGTCGGTAGGAGTTGAGCTTTCTAAGGTCCTGCGCATATGGGCAGATGCAGTGTGTGGTGCTTTGACTGCTTGTGTTGTGGAACAATGGGACCCGAGCCAGACTCCTGTGACCTCACTACGCAGCCTGCCAGCAGAGCGTGGCTGTGAACTTGAGTCTCACAGCTCCCTGGTAGGATCTGCAATGGCACATATAGAGGGCCCAATCTGCTCTAATGTTATATGCAAGGGGTGTCTGAATACCGGTCCATTGCTCACTGATCCTTCGGAGTACCGACCTGACCTGAGACCAATGCGGGTGGGGGGCTGGGCCCCCGGGGGGCTGTAGAGCCTCCTAGCACCGGAAGAAGAAGAAGGGTAATGGCAATACACAGCAGTGGGAATGCCTTGTACCGGTGCTTGAAACTTGGGAGTACAGCCTTGCCACACGCGCAGGGACCAGGGGAAGCGGACATCTCGCACCCCAGAGTCAAGTAGGGAGGAAGTTCATTCACATATGGAACATCCGAGGAGATTTGGATCACAGCTGCTTATGCGGATGATGTTCCATATGAATGTACGGTACTCTGGTCCTCCTGGGAAACGTAAATCAGCGAACCTGTGCGAGTGGTCGGGGCCTAGCCCCAGCAGGGCCTCAGGGTTTTGCATACCGATACCCCATAGAAGAAGAGTTATTGCATGGCAGGGACCGATGCTCTTCGACCTTTCCTCGGCCCATATTTCAAACATGTTTCTCTGACGAGATTTGCAGCTAGAGACCTCTGTGGATGAGGACCCCACATTGGGGAATCTTAAGGTTCAGCTCAGGCCTGCTTGGTTCCTAAATTGTCGATTTGGTTAGCCGGTTTTGATATCCCGGGAGCCAACCTTTCCAAATGTGCTTAACTGCTTAACAGGGACTAACAGGGAACCGGCACTTGGGGCCTAGCCCAGCGTGGCCCTGGCTTGCCAGGACACGCATAGCGCATAGAAGAAGGAGAGTTGCCCTGTTTGGTTGATCCTGGAACGTACGGAGAAGTGGTATCGGGAGAACTAGGGACCTGGGCGCCGGACTGGACGGACAGCGCGTGCGCTGGGCTAGAGGCGTAGCCTTAGCGCTGCTTTCGGAGGGTGGGCAGCCCGAAGAAGAGGAAGAAGAAGAGAGTAGTTGCGAACAGGGGCTGGGGCCAGAGAGGGCAACCGCGGCTGCCGGAACCCCAAGCAGCAGCTACAGCTCTTCGACTACACGGTTGGAGACTTCACAGGGACTACCTCAGCACCCAGCGGAACCAAAACAAGAGAAGGCCCTAAGCAGTGTCGTGTACGGGCGCGTCCCTCCCTCATTATGTTGCCAAACCTCCTTAACTTGGGGGGCGGACATGTTTGAGGGATGGGATTTGCGTGGCCGACCCACTGCTGGGGGATGAAACCAGGGAACAGAGGCAAGAGCTAAGACGACCCCTCGAGCCGAGGCAGCGACTGTGATGGGGTGCAAGTCTACCAAAACAACCCAGAAGTCTGTCATCTGCAAGCAACAGCGGCCTTGCCCAGGCCATTAATTGAAGCATGCCGTTGACTGCCAGTACGCTCCGGGCGTTACAAGCAACGCGGGGGCCGAGACTGAGGGGAATCGGGGTGACAAACAACATGAGCAGAAAAACGTCAAATGACAGACATGAAAACTAAGAACCAGCGACAAGACCTACTGAGAGAAACCTGCATTCGATGTACAGACCTCAACGTGGAAGAACTGTAGTCTGCCGTTTGTGTCCCAAAGTATTTGCACTTTTGACCGTCCATTCTTGAACTAGGGGGAGGCGAGATCAACGGGAACCATAGGCTCAATTCTCAAACACAGGCTGATTTCTTTTCCCGTGTTGTTTGTGGTCCTCGGTTGTGTTCCACATCGACTCCACTAAGATTGTTGTTACCGTATGCAACCCCGAAGTTTTACGACATGACCCACGACAACCACGAGGGGGAGGCCTAGTGCCGGCAGGAGGAAACCACTGTCATTCCCTTATAGAGAAAGCGAAAGCAAGAGACAGAGAGAGAAGAAGAAGAACAAGAAGAGGAAGAAGCAAGTGAGATGGAGAGCTGGTTTTTGTTGGGGGGGGCATAGCAGTGAGAAGAAGAAGAAGCTGTTTTTTTGGGAGTTTCAAGGAAGACGAGGCAGAAGCCGACCCAAGCAACGAGGCGTGGTCCTTTTCCATAGATTGTCACAGATGGTTTTGATTTGTGAGTCAGGCTGGTGAGGACTTCCGGGCTATTGTGAAGGACACGGGTTGCATGCAGAGTCTTCAGCAGAGTGCCTTCTTGCTGCTTCCTCATGGAAATCATGTACAGGCTTGCAAGGCTGCCGCCTGCAACCTTGCGACAGCATGCACATCCTTTGGGGCCCAGAGTCTCTGTTGATGGCGGTGTAATTGCACGAAAAAGTGCAAGACTTGATGGGACTGACGCAGGGCAAAGCCGCCAGCTTGTCGAGGCATCATAGTCATAGCTCAGACTGCTCAAGCTATTGATGAACGTTGAGCAGCAAGCAAATGAGATAGCAAAGGCCAGTTCGCTAAACCTGAGGTTCCAATGGAGCTTTTCGCAGTTTTCCTGTCAAAATTCGCAAAGCTAATCAGCAGTGAGGCCACATGAAGTGACCACTAGGGAATCTTTTTGCATAGGCTGCAATCGCGTCATTCCAACTACTTGACGCCACGTTTTTGCAGGAAGCCTTCGTCGCGCCGTGGCCTCAGGAATTCCTGCAGCACACGCACAGGACCATGGCTTTGCTGTTCTAGGGCGTGGCATTTCAACATAATCCTCACGTTAGAGTACAGATTCTACTCGTAGAGCTGTTTGTGCTGGGGTGCGAAGAGCGGCGGCAACGCCTGTGAATGTGGTTTTTCGGAGGACAAGCGGATAGTTCTTCCGGCGCAGCTAGTGGGCAAAGATGAGAACATCAGGTTTCAACAAGATTTTGCCAGATCTCAGCCTGTCAAAGGGTGCTGTTCAATCGTACTTCAGGTCACATGGCCCATTCGTGACAGTTGACTCCAGGACTGTGCCTGTACGGGGGAAGGGGCATGTTTGGCCAGGTGCAGATGCCTTGTTGCTATGCATGGGCGCTGGCAAGTCAGCTTGATCTGAAGGAGAATCGGTGATGTCACTGACGATTGGCGACCTTTCCTGGATCAGCATCCTGCTCTCGAGCAGGTTCCACTCAAGCGAAGTTGCCGTCGATGCTGGCTTCACGTGCCTGCCTTCGGGTTTGGACAAGCTGGGAGCAGGTCTATGAAATGGGAAAGGTGACGTTCTCGAAGCGTGCCTCCAGGACAGCCTGACCCTTGAGCTGTTCGGGCCATGTAGGTCCATGTGTCCGTCAAGGGCTCGAATCCACTGTTGTCCAGGATTTCCAGTGTCACCTTCAATGCTACTTTCACCAACACCGGATCCACTCCGTGGCTCTTATCTCAGCAGCAATTCTCGTGCGTTTCTTGCCTAAGGGCCTAGTGTCTAGTGCCATCCGTGAGGTCTTCGGCAGTCCTTCAGGCAGTGCATGGGTCGGACATGGGAGTGTCGAGCCTCCCACTTGCAGCTGCACCTCGGCAGCAGGAAAATCTCAGGTTCTTCGTTGCAACTTTGCTGCGGAACGCAGGAGGTGTTTACAGCTTCCATGTTCAGGTGGTCGAGCCTGGTGCTGACTACAAGGTCTCTGTGCGACTCAGGCTTCCGCAGGCTGACGAGGTACCCTCAGTTGCCATCAGCTGTGGATGTGGTGTGCCTCCAACTTCAGGATGCCATTCCGACATCAATGTGGGCCTTGAGCATGGGCGACCGAGTTTTTGGTCCGCTGCTTTTGCTCGATACTTTTCTGCATTCAGTGGATTGTAGATTTGGCACAGGAAGGCACTCGATCGTTGCGTCAAGTTAAAGTTGCTCCCACATCCAACAGCAAAGGAGCTGGAACAGCAGGAAGATGTCTCTCTTGACTCGCTCCTGCAGCAGGACCAGACTCTGCAGTAAGATTTATCCGTGCAGAGGTTCATGTCGGCTCGCAGGCCCAACAAACAGTTGAAGGGCAGCATGAAATTTCAGCTCGCGTGCACGAAGCACCAAAGCTGTTCTTGGAGGATGAGGCTGGCAGAAATGGCACAAAAAGGATGCCAAAGGTTAAGCGCGCATGTTTTGTTTGTGGCAGTTGGGCAACTCGTGCAGGTGTTCAGAGAAGACCCAGTCAAAGTGAGAGATGTTTCAGAGGACGTTGAACAGCAGATGCATGATTAACTTAGCCAGCATTTTCACGATGGGGGTAGAGACCAGGATTGGGCCAATGATCTTGCGAACTTTGGTATGGCGCAGGCCAGCCCTTTGGGAAAATGCGAAAACAGAAAGAAGGGCAAGTCCTGCGCACATGCGACCTGCAAGTCTCTTTCCACACCTCTTAAGGCGTACCAGATTGGCAGCATTGCGGTTGACTGCCTCGGAAAACATGCGTCAGCTGAGGCTTGTACTATGGTAGATGTTGACCTGCTAGACCACTGAGGTTTCCAAGTCTTTGCCAGCTAGGATGGCCTCGTTTGACCTCCTCGTGCATTTGACGTTGGGATCTTAATTTCGCTGCGAGAAATGCTGTTGGTTAATTCTGTGATGTGGCATGCAGGAACACGGGGCGCCAAGATTGGCCAGAGAAAACTGCTCTGCGACTGGTTAGTGGGAGATCGCTCGGCTGTGAAGTTCTGCCAATCACAGAAAAGGCCCAGCGAGTGTCGTTGTTTTCTTTGATGGTGGCAGGGTAGCCGCATAGCCCATTCCCGTCACGAAAGTTTTTGAGAATCATGCGCTGAAGGTGGGCTCGCTTGAGTCATCTGCTAGACAGACTGCTGACAGACTTTGCTTTGAGCATCTTTGAGCTGCAGGTCAGCCCAGGGCGCGCACCTTAGATCCCAGCGCGCCTTGCTCAAATCCTGACTTTATATCCCTGGTAAGTTGTGTCTTGCGCAGGGCCTCAGCTAATGTGCACATGAAGCTGCAGGTTCCCACGCAGGCTGGCGACAACAACCCATGCACCAAAGCTTTCCTACAATCTGCAGAGGACGACCCCGCAGAGACCGTGCAGGACAGTGCCTGGCGCCCAAGGACACACAGAACGCGGCCAAGATTTGCACAGCAAGGTGTGGGCGCTGGCCGATGACAATCAGTTCTTCGGGCCGTTGCTCATCCTAGAGCTTCGTGCAGGCCCCAGTTTCGAGAAATGACGAGTTATGTGGCTTGAGCATTTGTGCATATTCAACGGGGGACCTGTGCTGAGGTCATGTTTCATGAGGAAGGCAGACCAAGCACCGCTGTAACTTTCGCCAGAAAGGCTGAACGATGGCACTGTTTGAACCCCCCGAACATGTCACAACCCCATACCTATTGAAGAGTTGTTTTCCAACCGGGGAGAGGGTAGATACAGCATGGCTGAAGGTCAGAAGGGCCCTGACTCCAGCCAGATGCCATTCTGCTTCGAGCAAGTTTCTGTAAATGTTGCAACGTGAGAAGGCTGGGCTCAAGCCAGGGGAGTGGCCCAACTAACATTTTCAGCACTCGCAGCGCTGAAAACAACACGTACTTTCATTTGTCTGTGAGCCCTGGATAGCAAACCCATAGTTCCGGTGACGCCATGCAGCCAGGTCAGGTGTCTCTGAGCCCAGACAGCTTGCCTGGGATGGTGAGAGCGGCATCTGACACGCCGAGAGGTTGGCCAAAGTTGTCTCAAGCAAGCCGTGACATCTTGTAAGCATAGATCGACAATGTGTAAATGCAAAACAAGACTTAGGCTTATCATGACAAGCTGCAAAGCTGCAGTCTACAATGCAGCTGCCAGCAGATCCTGCTGCACAGGTTCTGATGCCCTTCTTGGAGTCCTGCAACGTTTGGACAGGCTTTCTGAGCAGGTCGACATTTGTCTCTCTGAGATCATGAGCTTGAAGCCAAGCAACCCCACTGTGCATACATCGCCGAATCGCATGGCGCCTGTCCATCCAACACTTCCTTCCAGTCCTGCTCCCCGATCATCCCTTGTTTCCAGAGCGTCCATGGGCACACTCTCGATTTCTTCCAGCCGGAGCGCTAACTTTCAGGATGATGGCTATTTGCACCGCCTAAACACAATCTTCCCGTAGTCCAGTTTGATTTTGAACCCTGGAAGGACGATAACCGCCGGGTTGGTCGGTCGTCGATCCTGTCACAAGTGACAGTGAGCACTTCTGGGATCAGCGCTCGGACTGCCACGGAAAGCGGCAGGCCAGGTGAGGGAGAGTGCCCTCATACATGCGCAAGTAGCTTTTTCTTTGACCAGGCAGCAGCACCTTCCTTACAACGAGTTTGGCAATGCGGAAGTGGTCAGCCAACGGCAGCTTGCACGCAGAGTTGGACAGTTTCGGCGAAGGGCTCGACCCGAAGCACGTTTTTTGGAAGATCCGGCCGATGCTCGGGTTAGTGCCGCAAAGGAGTGGCTTGGTGAACGAAGGCGCTGTGACATGGTGTGGCTAATGCTGGATGAGCCCCAGTCAAGCCGGTTGGCCTTTTGGATTGCAGTTTTGCTGAGGTTCCTGGTAGCTGCCAGCATTGCAATAACCTTCCTTGAGGTAAGTGATCAGGAACCGATTCTGCATAGAACAACAGCTGCAGTTTTGCAGACAGCGATTGACTCCATTTTCTGCATCGAATTCTTGTGCCGCGTGATGTCTGCACCATCCAAAAGGACTTACTTACTGGATTGTTACAACTGGGCGGACATACTTTCCGCTAGCGGCATTTGCCTCCGAAGTTCCATTGGCTTCGTTCTGACACCATCACCGTCGCCTGAAACCGAGATCGTTCAGGCATTGCTTCTTTATGGCCTGCCGACAATACGTCTCCTGAAGATGCTGAGATACATCAACTCTTTCAGGTTGCTTACTGATGCCGTCGGGAACTCCTTGGAATCCTTGCCAGTGCTCGTGTACACAATGGTCGTGATTGTCTTAGCATCTGCCAGTGCGCTGCACTTGGTGGAGTCGAGGGAAAACCTTCCGACTTTAGTACCTTGCATTGCTAAAAAATGTTCAAGTTCCCTTCCATCATTGTTTTCTGTCATTGAGTCATCTTCTCTCAGCGGTGTTTCGCTGGAGGGTTGTTCTTCTTTAGTATTCAGGCTCATGGCTTGAGTTCAGCTTGGGAAGCAACAGCGCAAGAGAACGAGACCCCATCTTGCACAGAAATGCCCGGCTCAACCTAATTCTCCTTGCTGAGCTCTGACAGCACTAACTTGCTGTTCCCCCTTCAGAGTGAACTTCTGATAAGGCACACTCCGTGTGGCTTGCGCTGGTCACGATGACAACCGTGGGGTATGGAGACTTCGCCCCCAAGTCTATTGCTGGCTACGTGATCACTTCCATCCTCACAGTCGTCAGCGTGCTTTTCATTGCTGCCGGGCTTGCATTTTGACACGTGGTTGCTTCAACTACTTGCCCTTGCACCGCCCAAAATCCCACGCAAAATCTTCACAGGGCTTGAGCAGAGTGCGAGATGGCTCTGTCCCTCCTCCCTCTCCTCCCTCCTCCTCCCCCCTCCTCCTCTCCCCGTCTCCGCGCGATATGTATGCGGGAGCCCTTCAGTGTCTTTGTAAGAAAGGACTTGCAGTCACATTGGCCCTAAACGCTGTAGTTAGATCAGTAGTTTACTTTAAAGTGCCATTGGACAAGGCCATGCCTGTTGGGCTTGTTGGCTATGAGTTCACCATTTGCTGGCAGAATCGTGCAAAAGTCCTCCTCTTGGCACGAACCCGGAAGCGCTTTGCACAGTGGGGTCTGCAAGGCCGTGATGTGCAGCTACTCTTTGAGTATGCAGATACAGATCGAGATGGGGCGCTCAATCTCTTGGAGTTTTGCGAGATGTTGCACGAGATGAAGCTTGGCCTAAGCAACGACAGCATCATCGAGCTCTTCAAGCTTTTTGATGACGACGGGAATGGCATTATCGACTTGGTGGAATTCGTGGAGGTGCTTTTTCCAGATCGAGCTGACGATGACATCTCCGATGCAACTCCTTCCGTGAGAGCATCCGCAATTGCTCCACTGCCGGCAGTGCAGGAGCTGGAAGAGTCCGAGTAGGCCGATGCTGTCCTTTTTAGATTGTAAAGCAGCACCAGCCAGAAGCCACTCTTTCTTCCTCGTCTTCTAAACATGTGGAGACCCAACTGACACAACAGCACCACGCAGGGGGTCCTGCAAAATGCATCCTTACCCTGCTGGTTGCTGCAAGGCTCCTAGCTTGGATTTGTACACAGACTTATACAAAAATGTGGAAAAGTGACCCGTGCCATAAGTGTGCTGGCTTGGGAGTGGGCACCGCAGATTAGGCTTACGCTCCATGGGCTTGCCAAACCCGGCCACCAATCTGAATGAATGAAGGGTGCTTCGTTTTGTGAAGGCCCTTTATCGGTTCAGGTATGTTGCTTGCTGCTCTGCAGCCGCGATGCTTCACAGGGCATACTGCAGGTGTCAAGCAGCGGCGGCATCTTTTCGCAGCTTGAGCGTCAAGACGAGGCATGTTGTCCCCATTGTTGGCCCGCTCACATGTTAGGATTCCTGAGGTGGTTCAGGGTTGAGGGTCGAAGGATCCATTGACGACGCCCAAGGAGGTCCAATGTTTGAGTACTCTTTCAAGCGCATCCGCACTCGATTGCGTGTCGCCTTGCACTGATGGCCCGACTGCGTCGCACGGACTCCTTTGAAGACGTCCGTCACTGCGGCCTATTCCGAGCTGCACACGCCTCCCAGGTGCTTGTGGGCCAGGCCTGGATGGGGATCCGGTTCCCTGGGGACCCCAAAAGGTAAGGACCGTTGCCCCGCTCGCACAAGGGGCTACGTACAACAAAGTTCGAATCAGGCTCCTTCTGATGCGGGCCCGATGCGATCCTGCACCAAGAGAATCACCTAGATTTGCAATGTGAGCAAAGCGCAGGATACGCAAAAGATGTGTCAACTCGAAGTGCTCTAAAGTAAGTCATGATGATGTCTGTAGAGGATTCCATTATCGGCGTCTGTCATCGATTCAGCCAGCATCAAGAGTCTTAAGCCGGCAGCAGCTGTCTGCCATGGCTTAATATTGCGATCACCAAGATGTGAGCACCACAGTCCAGATTTCCTTTGAAGTGGGCTAGAGAAGCTCATTTTGCGCAATCACACTGTGCAAGGAGGTATATTGTGTAATATATAGTCAAGGCAAGTAAATGAGTCAAGAGCCCGATTTCATCCAAGAGCTTCGAAATCTGTGGCATGCAAAAGGAGACGAAGTTGCCCATGTGCTGCATCCACAAAGACATGGTCGGTAGCAGCGTCCATCCAATCACCCCACTGTTTCCAGCCACAAGATGCGACAGATTGATTCCCAAGCATGGGCAGCCTCCCGTGCTCTGTATCTATATATCCATGTATATCTGTATATGCGCCTTTTAGGGGGGTTGGTTATACGCGTTTTTGGAACGTACATACATGCGCATGCATGCACATTATGCAGACGCATTAGTGCGCACTGTGCTGTTTGGCGTGCATCACTCATCACTAGATTCTGTCACATACAAAGTGGTCTAATGCTTGTCGGAAAAAGGGTTGTGAATCAACATATTGTAAGAAAATATATGTAGAAGATACATTACAGTATAATGTATCACAAATAGCTGTCTGTCCAGAGGCTTCGTAAGGCTTCATATGAGGAGTTGTGGTCATCGCTCGCCAGTGTAGCAGCAAGCTTTCATTCCATCGCCGGGCCACCAGGCATCGCGAGTCCTCGGCATCTAGGGCTTAGGTGGAGATTAGGTTAAGGTTCTAACGCGGTTTGGGGTTAATTCAATGATGTGTAATGTAGGGCTCGTGTGTGAGATCCGCAAAGCTTGCCAGGGAGCCATCTTCGACCATGGACTGACTCTTGGAAGCACTTGCGATTTCAAGTGTTTGCATCAGGTCGCGTAAGTTCTGTAGTTAGACCACAAACAGGGGGGCCCTGCCAGAATCCGACTCATGTCATGTCCTGCTCGTGATGCTGTGAAGGAAAGGCATGATGCCTGCCGCGGGAATGGGCTTCGCTCGCATTCCCACACGAGAGCAAGTTCAGCAAGCAGGCTTCTTAATCTGGCAACGGGGAGTCACCCGTACATTGCCCCCAAGCCCTAGCACGTAACAACGCTGAGACCCATGCCTATACCTAGCCTATACCTGCTAGGCCGCTTTGGCACCACTTCCACTACTGAAGAATCTCCACTGCCTTGACAGGCACGGTCCTTTTCAATGGCACCTCGCAAGTGGAGAAGGTGCAGCGTGAAAGCTTTTGAACTCTAAATGCACTAATGCTATTTGGGCTCAAGCCATTTTGGCTCAAGACTTTTGGATCAAGCTTCAACTTAGGTTTCCCCTATTCCTTGCTGCCGGGCCATGGACAGATGACTCTCGTGGGCCAAAAGAGCCTTTAGCATGGCTGGTCAGCTGCCTCGGTTCGTCTGCGCTGACCTTTGCGTCTTCGCTGTTCACCAGCTGAAGCCAGAGTATGGTGTGTGCCCATGTATGGTGCAGTGCTGGCCAGCCCACCCCCCCCCCTCCCCCCCACCCAATGGTATGGTGTTGGTATAATGTCCCACAATTGCCAGCAGTCTGGTACGTGACTGTCACTTTGTGGCAGCGAGACCTGCATGTTTAACGGGTCAGGCAGATCCTCCTCCTCCCTTGTGGTTTGGTGGGCTTGCT